AACTCGGATCACTTAAGCTTAAAACATTTGCCTATATCCAGATCCATAACAATCAAACATAAGCTATACGTTCCCTAGAAATGGGTACAATGGCTTTCTTATCATAGTTCTAAAATCATTACAACTTTTATAATATCACTGTCGCTTTATTCTAACTCATTTTCACTTTTTTCTAGTCACATATTTATTTTTTATACATATAACATCCCTATAAGCTACGAACCTATTCCCGTTTTCTAAGGACTACTACTTACTGGATGGAAAGTAATCTAACACTTTCCATAAAATTGTTCTCTAAAACTTCATTTTTCCCCTTCGACTAAGGTAGGGTTGTTTTGTTTTCTGAAAGACATAAAACTAACAAAACAGGACTATAGAGACACCAGGTGAAATTATGGATGTCACTTTATTTCAGGGATCACTTCAACTCATGCACAACAGTAACAAATTTTGCACAGTAGGCTAATATTTAAAGATATTCTTATCCATTGTGCAACTAATGAAGCAACATTATTAAATATGAACTCTTAACACTTAATAATGACAAAAAATCGTCAGTTACCCATGTTCCTGATATATATATGCAACAAAAATGGTAATGGTGTATTTCCAAACTGTAGCTAACACTACTCCAAGACAAGGACTACTTCCTTTTAGGGATTGTAATAATCCATTTATTACGACAATCTCTAATTTTATATTTACAATTTTCTACCATACAATATACTTATATTTATATAGGAACGTTTAGAAGGTATTCTAGATTATGAGTTACCAAGTGCAGATAATTTCAAAAATATGCGTCATTCATTAAGAGAAATTAATGATAAAATGTCAAAACATCGCTTTCTTCTGGATCGTCACAATTCAGCAGACTTGGATGAACATGATAAATCTAAAGTATCTGAAAGAATTAATGAAAAATATAAGGAATTAGAAGAGAGGTAAGTCGACACTAAACTTATATTTTCTGTAAATATGCACTTCTTATACAATAATCACCAAGTTAAAAGCAAACGGAACGAAGGTCTTATAATTTTGCACCATCTTATACACCTTAGATAGAAAACTATTGAAAACCAGGAAGCATTGAACACCAATTTCACCCTAGTATGGAACTCTTTAAAAGTACGCATCCATAATCCCACAGGAGAGTCTTATGCTGAAAATTATTATATACTTACTACTAACTAACTTTAAGAGGTAATTCCTAAAGTTATATATATATATTCAAGAACAGGTTAGAGGTCATTTGGAGTTGGAATTAAGAACATAAGGGGTGGGTGATGCATCAGTCAAATGAAGAAATAGAAAACCTAATGTCTCAAAAAAGATTAATTTTCTAAACACGCACATTATTTCAGAACACATTAAAAAAGTATAATTGTAAACAATACAAGCGGTCGTACAGTGCCTTTGCCAATTAATAGGAGATTACTCTGACGAATTTGAATAATGTAAGTAGCAGATATGCGCTTCTATATTTGAAAGTCTTCCTACCATCATGATTGAGAAATTAATAAACCTCAATAAAGATTGCAGAGTTTTCAAATAGTTCTCGGAAAGCTCAACAGTTTAATTCATGATAATCCAAGTAACATCTTATACGAATAACTATATGTGAGTTAATCTACAATGTTGCAACAAACTTTCTGTCTAATTAAAGATATACAATTTATTACCAATACTGTTTAATTTAGACCTAATATTTAAGAAAGTCAAGGCTGCTAAGCAAGAGTATTTTTCCAAAATATGATCATTTAGGGTTTTGCTTCATTTTATCCAATTCAAAATAACAATCAAAACAATCTAACTCCGTGAATGCTTGAAATAAATACTCGTGGTTAAGTGATATGATATGTTTTTTTCACTTGATATCTTAAAGAAATTCAAGGATACTATACTATACATTTTTACTGTCTGATATGGAACTACTAACACTTGTTCTAGCCTAATAGTTGTGAACATTGAAATACCAACAAATAAACTATGTAGTGTAATCTATTTCTGTAGCAAACGTGAACAAAATTTATGGACAACCAAATGTACTTGAACATACAATTATAGAATTTCCTAGTAAAATCTGAGAACCATACAGTAAATACTTCATCTGCAAAATGTCGATCAATTGTTTCAGACTTTATCGTTCCTATATTTCCATACCAATCACTCTATGTTCTTGTTCTCTTTTCTTTAATCTTCTCAACATTCTGCCGACAAGCATTCCACTTTCGATTGGCAATACAAACTACTTATATCTGTCGACATCAGTAGCACACGCCACATTTCCATTAAAAATTAACTCATTAGTGATTTAAAATGATAATTTCTTCGTATCTTTAAACAGCTGATTGTTTATATTTAGAAACAATACGAAAAAAATGCAACTACAGTTATTTTGAACTTATGTGTATTCTTTTAATCCTGTTCTCACTGTAGAATGCCATGTTTGACTATGTCTGATAGAGCACGTGAAAAGGAAAAACGTACGACGCGTTTTGATCCCACTTTTATCCCGGTAAGTTTAATGTCATAGTTTAGGTGGTGTTATTGATTTTGAAATAATATGCTAAAATGATACAATCAATGAACACTTGTTCTAATAAATAGATGGATACGGAAGAAAACCTAAAACCTCAACTAAATAAATAACAATGACAGAATCAATACTGAATTGGATAAATTATTCTTTACGGAAGTAAACTATAGTTCGACTAGTTTTATCCTTTGATTATTGTATGCATGATCAGATATTTACATTTGTAAACTTAACCTGAGAAGTGCAAAAACACTTACTCTTCCAATATTGTTTTCAATAATAAACGAAATTTCACACTGCAGTTGCAGTAGAGTTTTTCAAAAAAAATAATCCTAGAATTGTAATGAAATTAATCGTTCAGTACCCAACTTACACTGAAAATACATGAGATCTATCTTCAGTACAATCATTCATCTGGAAAGCTTTAAGTAATTGGATTCCGTTTCAGTATTTATGGGTGCTTATTTTAATAGTAATAATAGTTTTATGCAATGCTGTTGTTAGTACAATGTAGAATTCTCGAAATATTGCAACATGTTCGTTCAATTCTTCATGAACTAAATAGATTTATACAAAATTAGTTGCGATTCTTATAAGCAAAGATCAATAGTTATAACAATGGACAACAGATATGGATGATTGAAAGCAAAAGTATTTTCAATTAGTTCAATTCTTATCATTATGAATACAGTGGTCTTGAGTGCTGTTAGATGTATGAGGGCGGTTATCATTCCCGGTTGCCCACACCGTGGAAGGGTTCTTCTGGAGGTACCTGAAAAGGAAATTGGACTAGAAGTGGTCTTAGTGACCTGAGAGCGTGACCGCAGTGCCCAAGGGACAGCTGCTTGAAATCGGTCACACACGACCCGGTCCTACGTTGTAGCTGGCTGACTGACTGACAATTATTATCATGTCTTTTTTTCAGATAGAATTTATGTTAATTTCGATATTATAGAGCACTTGTATTTTTATTCAGGTGAATGATTTCTAATGTAGATGAGTCGTATTTTTCCGAATATCATACCATACCTTAAAACCATGTAACTTCTATAAACAATTATAATGTTAAGAACATTAAATATTATTTTGTTTCTAAATAAAAACTCCTTATCAGTTAGATTTATTTCTTAAGTTATTGTTTGGAAACAAATATTCTTGTTTCTTTATAACTTACTCTACTATTATGATATTTTAACTTACATTCATCTATATGCGAAATTCCTCATTGACATTGTTTTACTTATGAATAATGGTCGAAAACATTAAGAATTAAAAAATTTACTTTAGTTGTTTCGTTGAAACTTACAGCTGTCCTTCAGACAAACAACCTCGTAATCTATATTATAAACTAATTAATAAACAATCTATAGTCGAGAAAATAATTTATTCAATTAATGTTCCAGATGAAAATATCTTAACATTTCTTAATGAAGAAGAACTATTTTCTTGAAAAGATAAACAATGTAAACCGATTCTATCTAACTTTCCAACTGGAATTAGATACATTAAGAACTAGTGAGATTAGTTTATTCTTATAGATTGTGTTACAGAACATTCAGGTTTAAATCAATGGCTTAAAAGTATACATTAATCAACTTCGTACTTAAATGCAACATATACACTGATACGGGTACAGAGCGCATATTTGGTTGTTGAATCAAGATTCCAGTTGTTCGATTTTGTATACTTCTTAGATAAATTCCGTTGTATCATCAAATACACTTGAAAACGCTACACCAAAAGTTCGATATATGCTTTTGAGAATGATCTGTTTCAGATAGTTTTGCTCAACAAATTAAAGGCTGAAAAGATAAGGATTGGAAGAAATGTGAATATGTAAATGAAAAATTTATATGTATATAAAATAAAAATAACCTGAAGATTCTGTGCAATGATATGGTCATACAGATGTACACATAGGTAGTAGTGTATATAAGTAGAAGTCTATAATCAATCATACAAACGAGTTCAAATAACTAGTAGCAACAAGACGATATATTTATTTTCCATATGATTGTCTCACACAACTTCATATATCGGTCTATACTAACTTTTCATTTAAATTCATGTTCTAATTGCGAGCTTAAGCAGAAATACCGTTCTAAATTTTCAAGGTGGATAGACTGAAACTGCCATATTATAAATCAAAACGCAAATATTTAATACTGTTTATTAAAACGATACGTATAATCATTTTATTTTCTTTATTTTAAAAATCTAGGGATATTCTACTGGTTTAAGTATTATAAACTCTGAACAGAATGCTGAATTACGAGGTCGGATTAAATCATTACTGTTACGAACAAAACGCAGTGGATAAATATCTACTCTTTCAATGTTTCATTTTATCATGGTCATAACTATATAGGACTTCAATGAAATTGTAATATGAAATATTAATTAGATAACAATTTACCTTTAATAAAGCTTGCTATAAAATTATTATTTTTTTTTTGTATTTATGTGTGTATTATTGGTTAATGAAACAACAGGATTTTAACCAAATAGTATGAAATTAAAAATGATTTGATTAGTTACTTGAGAACTATGGAATAAACATACTCTGAATAAGATTAACAACAACTAACTACTCCAAATAAATAAATCAATAAAAATTATTTAATAGACACCTAGTTAAGAATTATGTAAAGTTTAACATTACACTCAACCGTTGGATGCCGGTTCAGTGGTCTAGTTGGTTAAGCGCCTGGCGCAAGACTGATAGGTCTTGGGTTCGAATCTCGCGGGGGGCAGGATCGTGGATGCGCACTGCTGAGGAGTCTCACAGTAGGACGAAATGGCCATACAGTGCTTCCAGGTTTTCCATGGTGGTCTAGCTTCAGTTGACTCATGATTTCAAACAGTGAAATTTTTAAGATATCTCTTGAAAAATAATTTTTATATTTTTGTTAAGAAAAGATGTAGTTAGACATCCAGTCAATAAAATATATATAAGTGATCACATTTGATATAGAAACTTATGAAATATATTCTATGAAGTAATCGGTAGAATTGATTGTAAGTATATAACCAATCGGGAATGTAGCTTGTATTTTAGATTAAGAAATGGAGTTATACTTCAGCTTATATAAAGTCTATCATTATCACATATAAGATATAAAAAAAGTTTAACAGAAATATGAACGTGCCGAAAATTAACATAGTTCACGAGAAACAATACTACTGCTTTTAACATTTGCGGAATCAAATGAAGTTATTTTACTTTAAAGTTCCTCACCAAGACCAGGCACTATAAGGCATTCCGTATAATTAACAATGAGCAAGCGTCACTCGGACTTCATTTTGCAAAGGTTACTGGCATTAAACTACTCCGACAGAAAACCGAGATCAGTCTTCCTTTGTCATGATAAGTATAACTGCACACAGATAATCTTGTTACATTCCCACACTTCAACCTTTCCGTCAATATTCACTCATTAATTTGATTCCCGCCTTTATTCATGTCAATTGATGACGCATCCACTTATTCTTACTATGATTATGTAATCCCACATTTTTATTATAATTTTTGGTAAATAAATGCTTACCTCACCTATTCTAAGTGATTTACTCTTTTATGTATTCAACCGTCCCTTTCGACTTCAATTAATATATCTTGAACCTTTTACTTCTTATGATTTCCCGTCACGCATTAAATCTTCAACTCAGCCTCATTAACCGATGTCAAACAATTGCTTATCATCATGTTATTGTCTATGACATTATGTTGTTTACAGCTGATGAGAGGTCTTGAGGTAGAGTTAATTCATTTTTTCCTGAGAATTCTGCCTGCTCTTTATACAGGAATTCACCAGTTCATATATTAGGCAGTAGCACAACAATTTAGAAAAAGTGAGGACTATTGATGCTAGCCCAAATCAATATCATTGCCAAAATAAGTTACTATTGTTATTTGCCCATCTGAAATCTGTTCCGATTGATTATTTTCTTGTAAAATACCATACTACCTTTTTGGAGACATAAAAGCTCTCTGGTATTGTCCTGTCTTTGTTTTTACTTATATAGGGTAGACAGAGATGAAATGTTGTCGTGCATTAGTCGTTGATGTATCTAGTTAAGTTACATCCAATATTGCAATCCCTTTGTTCTTATGTCTGATCACGACAGTTACCAAAATACAACACGGATAGATTGTGCTACACAATGACCACCTAAATTGAAGCAGTTATAGTTAACAGTTGATAACCTGGGGATTATAGTCGTAAACTCATTGAAGATTATAAAACTTAATGTACACCTATACTTGCCAACCAAAGTGAAGATTTAATATGACAGAATAGATAATAATAATAAGAAGAAGAAAATATCCACTTGGATGTACAGGATTTATTTTCCAGTGAATCTATTGCCAACATCATGAAGAAGAATAAAACTGAACTACTTTTCAAAAGTATTCATAACTTCCATATAATCAAGAGCTGAGTTTTCATACTTGGTTATCTATGTAAAATTGTACATATTATAATATGAAAAGAGAATTTATTTTTGTTTTTCATTTATTAAAAAAAACATTCTGAAACATGTCCAAATGAAGATTTAAAAATGAATGAATATTTGGAGTGATTTTCAAATAAATTGAAAAGAAAATAATTGTAAATTGGTAATGTCAATCTATATGTTTCCTAATATGTGAGCTATTGAAAACAAAGAAGGTACATGCACATACATGCAATAATAGTAAACAAATATATTATCATTATTACTATTGTACATGATTGATCATATTCTAGAAAATAATTCGCTTCGTATATACTGGACCTGAACTGTAACATAATAAAACAGGGTTTTTTGCTGCTGAAAAGAAAAAAAGAAATACTTATTGGACAAAATAAATAGACTAGAATTTTATTATTGTGCATTAAGGAAAAAAAGAATCCATTTAATGATAAAAGGCCTCTGTGGTGCTTGTAATGGAGTAAATAAAGATAGTTTAAAATAGACAGAGGGAAAAAAACGAGCAAGGGAAAAAGTGAAGGAAGCATAGGGAAGTTTGATAAAAATCTAAAAGTCTGATGCAATAAACAAAACGTGCCTGAAAAAGACTTTAAAAAAACAAGTAAATATTTACATAATTGAACTGGAAGACACTATGTAATGAAGTAGAGAGGCTCTAGAAAACAGAAAATAGTATGTAATCAATTAATCTGCTCATTTCTTGACAAAAATAAATAAGAATATGATCACAATGCAGTGCAGTCGATATATCATTATTGATGTGATGATGATGGTGACAATCCAGTAGGGGACATTGATGAAGAACTAGACGGAGAAAGTGTGCCAAATCCACGCCATTTCCATGAAGAAAGTGGATGATTTTTAATTTTTTCTTTACGCTGTTGTTGTTGTTGTTCTGCTTTAATACGAGCTTTTTCCATTTTAGCTAATCTTTTTTGTTGAGCAAGTTCAGCTTTTTTAGCTTTAAAATTAGAAAACGATTTGAATATAGAAGGAATCTTATTAGAAGTATTTGATATTCCAGAGATTTTATTTGATGGTACACGAGGTAATGTGGATACAGCATCAGAAAGTTGGCTGTGTTTAATTGTATTACGATTGAGTGTTGCCTCTGGAGATGAACAAGAATCTGGTGAGTTTGAAACTCCTGGTAAAGTTGACTTTTCATCTAATAAGAAAAATATTGAAAAAAAATTGTTCGGTAGATATATATTTCATATAAACAATTTTTGGTGAATGTGTACGTGTGTGCAAAAAATCACTTGCAAATATTTCAAATCTATATAATTCACTTCAAAAACAAGAATTCGTTTGGACCTAAAGATGTTACACTATCAAGAAAAGTACCAATACTAAAACAAACGTAATTACAACTAGATTGGATTATTTTGACATCTATGATAGACTAATATACAATGATTAAACTTTAAAAATTTACAGTGTAAATGACAGTGTTGACTGTCATGTGACTGATCTGAGAGCTAAAACATAAGGTTTTTAAAGATGTTAATTAATTGGGCTAATTAAAATAGGAGAACGAAAAATTCGCAAAAACTTCAGAGGCATCAGAGATATGTAGGTAAACTGTGAGATCAACCTGAAAAAAAAGTTCTTGTATCCTCATTTAATAAAGTAACGAAATAAAGGACAGCATCGATTAATACAAATATCTAAACTAAATCTGATGGATAATTCACTAAATAATTATTTAAAAATATGGAGAGTTTGATTAGTGTTAAATTTCTATGATGAAACCAGTGCATTATTCTAGGTTTTACGAATTATATACAGTAGAGCACTAACATTTTGCTCCGGTGTATAAGCATAATGTGTGTAGATAATATATAAAGAGTGGATGTATTTGTAGACAAGTGAATTTACCTATGTAATAACTTAGCTAGCAGGTGATCTATTAGTAATAGTAAATTATGGTTCAATAGGTGTATGTAATCTTAACAAATAAAAAAGTATTCTGATATAAATTAGGAATGTGATGATTGTATCAGTGGTCAACAACAGGGTTCGACTCAAAATATTTTGAAAAAAAAAACAACTGAATGGGAGCTTAAAAGTTTGGTGATATATCTGTAATCTGTCATGTATTGGCAAGAAAGAAAAAAGCAAGAGGCTCGTGAAAAACTAAACTTTTTGAAGAGAAAACAGGCTATATGAAGATTGGTTTTGTTATTATAACCACATGAATACGTGATTTATTTAAGCGAAAATCAACAAACTTATGTAAAAGTTGGATCAATAAACCTTTTATACATAAATGTAAGGTTGAAATACTAATGGGTGACTAGTTGCAGATTGGAACACATATAAGGGTTTTTATTAATCTGTTTTCGAAATCCAGGACTGCAATTGATCAGTCTTTGTTGACATGATGTTATCCTGAGAAAAGACCTTTATATAGCTTCTCTGTTACAAGCTCCAATATACGTAGATTGTGACTAGCAGTGGAATACAGGAATGCCAACGAAGAAATACAAATCCTGAAGAACAAACTTCATACGTAACCTATTGAACACGTTGGTGATTAACTAAACTAAGTATTTCATTAGGGTTTGGAGCAATCAATATAACGTTCGAATTTCTATACAAACAATAATTTTAAGATGTAGGTAAATCCAGCCAGTGTAACGCAGATAGAACGAGAAGTGCAGTCCGGATTCCGCTATTAGTTACAATTCAAATATACTCAAATATGAGCTCTAATAAATCATTTAATTAAAGATACCGGATATATGAAATTCAGAAGGTATTTTTAAAGTATGTATTTCGGAAAAATTACAATTGAAACGAAGAATCTTTCCATGCAATGACTTTGACAGAGTATCTTACAATAATATTATTTTTATTTGAACACATAGACATTGGTACAAGGAAGCACCATATACATATGCGTCACACAAATCTCATTTGACATGTGTGAGGGCTATGATACTGCCCGGGTGCCCAAACCAAAGCAGGTGTTCTTCTTAGGGGGTCACACCCGGATCCTTTGACCAAAAGGTCTAATCCACAAGGCAGTGGAGCAATATTATGCAGTTCTACGGTAGTCGGTGACCAATAATTGGTTCATACACCATTTGTTCCTTTAGGATACTAGAGCCCATGTGCACCATTGGTTTTGAATCAGGGTTTTCCAACTCCCCTAGGTAAACTCTCCGTGTCCACCAACCCGGTTAAAGCGCCGGACATTCGCTTTTCGTTCTCTCAATTTCGTAAATAACACCTGTGGTGCAAGAAGGCAATGAGTAGGACTTCCGTGGCAGAAGCTATATACGCGTGGCCATGTGAGAGCATTTTGAGAGTGAGAACGAATTTTCCCCACTCCCGGCCGTACGAGGGCATTGTGGTGGAAAATCGCCTACAATATTACGACCTTCCTGTACTTATTAATTTAATACACATAAATTCTGGTACAACTAGGCAATTAAAATAAATATTCCCCACACGAATAAGGAAATGAATTTTTGGAGCGACATAGAGAGGTGGAGGATGATTAAAAATAAATGAATAAAAGTCGGAAGTAGTGTTTACTGGGGGACTGTTTGAATATCTGGGATACCTGTTCCTTCCATCTCGATATTTCAAAAAGTTAACTGTTTTTGCGCATCTATGAAAATTTCACGTTTCACTGTATAACTTACAAAAAAATACAATCAGAGACATCGTGGTGGCTGGCAGTATGCATTGAAAAGAATGAACATTCTTCAGATGTCGATACCTGAAGTACTAACATTTAACTGGCGACCACTAATTGGCAAGGTTGACTGTTTTCAATTCCTATTAAGTTTAAGCATGTGTCGTAATTGTGGTGTAGTCACAATTCAGAATCCTGGTTAAATGATTTACAAAAAAATTTCTCAGTATCACTACAAGATTTTAATATCTATCATTAATATCGATCAAGAAAGGAAAATTCGCTGAAACACTGCGCTGAGAATCCTATGTTGTACCAAACATAGAATATTGAATGAAGTCATTAATAATAATAATAGTTCAGTTGAAAATAAAACGGAGAAGCCCTTCAATTAAGAGAGTCCGAACCACATTTTATGAAGAATGTAAAAGAAAATTAAGGCAGGATTACCATTAGTTTTTGTTTTGAGTTATGTCTAATATCTTCTAAAGTCACCGAGATGCACCGTATCTAAGACCTGAACCAGCGAGTCAAGATAGACCCACAGATCCTAGTCCTATACAGCTTCCTTTGATACCTCGGCACCATATAATAAACTGACCGCCTTTCTGCTTTATCCACCCGAGCCCCAAATTGGCAAATAGAGATATGCAAATATCTGGAATAAATAAATACGACATGCCCCAGCCACTGAAACTGGTGTTTCAAGATGGTGACACCAGTTACATTGTGATTATTGAGCTGGAACGCAAATTGCCGAACCTCAGAATTACTAATGTGGTGTTGTCGCTGGATGTCAGCAATCCTTTGGAGACAACGATTATCAAACACAGAAAGTCATTGAACATAACCAAGTCAGAGAGAACAGATTTTCCGAGTATATAGCATAACTGCTCATAAAGATTGCTACGTTTAAGGAGATTACGATATCACCTAAAACCGGCGAACGGTCAGTAATACAACACAACAAGCAAAACAATTACACTGCTCTCAGCCCTACTAAATAGAGGGAGAAGACCAGATTCAGCCGAAGGAAATGTATATTTCACAAGCAGTCGGAAGCACGGACGAACAAGCAACCTGCAAAAATGTTCTTAGAAAACTTTACAAAATGGCGTACTAAAAGAGGAAACAAACCGGTGACATTTAAGGTCCTTCTAAGCGGGAAATACAAACTGAAGGTAAAAAAGGACGCTTTTCGTGAGTAACTGAGAAATTCAAATTTCCAAAATAAAATTACAATAATAAGACGTTTACCAAGTGGTTTATGGGGACCTAGCATCCCCAACCACGACACGTTATAAACCCGGAGTTTTACAACCAAGCAAACATCAAGATAACCTTAAAAATAGCCCAGATTGGTATAAGTCACTCTAACTTTTAATTTCATCTCCGACGCCATTATTAGAACTCATACAACGACCCAGATATACGAAAGTTTCAACTACATCTAACGGATCGGTTCAGAGGTTGAGTACAAGTACATGTTCTTCTCGTCTTTGAGCTGGACGTTTTATTTGGTGGTTAATAATACTACAACTAATATCCGGTTTTCCAAACTAGATGCGTAAAACAAGAACCTGACACATATTTTGAAGTTGAGTGAATAGCCAAATAAGCTGCTACTAACCTAATAGTAAAGTTGTTTATGTCATGATACTTTAATGTTCATGCAAAGCACACACAAATCAGAGCTAATGCAACATACCAAGACCATTTAAATATCCTTTATGATCTGTATTATATTTCACTTTTAGAAGTGGAAAGTAGAGATATCCTCTCTTTCCTCCAGTTCACGAGATATCTAAAATATTTTTAAACATGATCAATCTCTTTAAAATTACAAATTAAAGATATGTGAAAGGATAAAATGATTCTCGAAAGTTCGGATGAACGAAGATGGACAAATTTCAAAATGATATCTCTTATTGACATATATCAACTGAACACTACACACTAGTATTATTTTTATCCGTTTTAATAAAAAAAAACAATCGGTACAAATAAACTCACAAATTTGCAACATATACAGACAAGCTTTAACAGGGACACCCTGATTTTTATATTACTTGTTCGGATTATGGAATATCACAGTAACGAGAATTTTCAGGATATCAATGTAAACCATGATCGATGTTCTGTTTATACTTAATGTCAGCAGAACAAGTTAAGAAATGAAATACTTTAGGTGCGCAAATTCAATGTGTGCATATATGTGTGTGTGCATTTCAGTTGCGTAGGAGTGATATAGCTTACCAAATCAATAACCATAAGATTGATGAATATTTCCCTTTTGTCTAAAACCGAACACTATGCAAGCTAACAAAAGAAATGTTAAAATTAGCATAGAAACAATACTGTAAATTTTCAATTGATTCTACACACACAATATATGTTACATTGCTAGCTAAGAAAGTGGGAAACATAAACTTTAAAGAAAATATCTTATCATCATTATTAGCGCCTTTTTTCATATCATGATTTTTTGAACAAATTTCAATGGTCTACAAACAATCAATAAATTGTGCCGAAATAAGATAGAATAAATTCATCTGAGAGTGCAAACAAATCTCTAACAGCATAAAACCAAACACAATAATATCCTACCTTCACATACAAAAAGTATGTAACAAAAATTAAAATGTTACGAAATCTAAGACATCATCGATTTCAAACCAACAACGGCATGAATAATTCAAAACATGAAATATCATATCTAACACTAACCATAAAATGATGGATTACAATAAAAACATTGAATGATAAGTAGAGGAATCTTTTGTTTTAACGAATTAAGATAAGTCTTATATTTTTTCATTCTTCCTGTTGAGTTTGTGGCAGACGAAATCTCAACGTCGATACGAAACCACTCAATTCCTTTTGTAACACCTGTGGCACAGGCTAAATGTTCATCTGTGAGTATACTCCACAGTAATTTGCTTAATATTCCTTAGAGATTGGGAAATGTGATTTATGAAACTTTAAGAAATGAATAAGCTGTTAGTAAGTGATCACAGTTGTCTTCAAGGTACTGAAAGTATATGGTGAAATTACCAGACAAGTAACTCAGACTTTAAATTTAGGGTTCCAGGTAAAAAATGGCAAATCTACTGACGAAGTTGTAAACGTTCATCGGCCAGGATGGTTGTGAGATATGTTGCATGTTCCCAGTTAACATCCATCCAGACATGCTATGTTGCCTAATATAAGGATGATTAAAAAAAGGACTAAGAGTAATCAGAGGAAAAACCCGGTCTCCATCCAAGAAGAGATTGAATAATGATCTGAGCCGTTTGGTGATATATAGACTTTCTGATTGAGACCAACCAAGTAATTGTAATTCAAGATTGAAGAACTTAGGTGATGTGGTTTAAAGGCAATTCCTATATGACCCAAAACGACAACAAAACGAAAGACTCTTCGAGATCGTTTACCCATGTTTTTACTCTTCTCATAGCTATAAGTATAGTAACTTTTCAACTAGTTCTACATAAATCAAGTATCGTATGGGGAAACCGAATGATCACTTCAAAACGATTAGTTTTAAAACGAGTATTCCATATGATCTGCAAGAATTCATTATTTAACATATAATACATTGATTAGATCTTGATTAAACGATTCCATTGAATGAATACTTCCAAGCGAAAAAGCGCCAAAAAATTTCTCGCTATAGTTCATTATCATCAACACAGTTACAGCCATACAAAAAATGCATTGTTTGAAAGTTCACTCAGATAGTCTTGTTGTAGTTGAAATGAAAACTGCCGTAGACAATATTATCATCATTATTATTCTGTATGGCAGACATTTTTATCAATTAAAAGATTTCATAATCAAAGTAATGTACTTGTATATTAACGAAATCATTAACAAGAATAATAAACATGGAAACCGTAGATGCGTATTCATACTCAAATTAGTCTTCTGCTATCATTGAGTATTAATTATTATTATTTAGACAAATTTCATCCTACTGTTTTCCGATTTCTTTCATTTAAGCTAATGTGACCAATTAAATCATTGTGTGGTTTGAGTCACCTATTTCTATGACTGCAAATAATGTAATAAATACTGTTGCGAATACTTCCAAAAAGTGTTTTTCGGTCATTAAAATTTGAATGCATGTTACGCGGAAATCTTTTGCAATATTGCACAGTTGGTGCTGAAAATTCTTTACAGTAACAAATCTTATGGTACTGGATACGTCCATTATCATTATTTATTATTGTTATTATTATTATTATTGTTATTAAAAACAAGCTAATAATCATACCCATATTATGATATACAATCTCAATGATGTTTAATACACCTTTTTGTCGTTGGTAATCTTTCTTAACCGAGAAATTTTTTGACGGTAAGAATAAATAATCCGACGTTTAATATGAAGTAGATATACTACTCAGTAAATCAAATTTTATCAAATAGGTTATTAGTAAACACTAAAAATAAGAAATTTAACTGAATCTAACCGTTTAAATTTATCTGTTTGTTTGTTTTACGTAATAACGTTGGCGAAACCGGTGCAGACAATGAATCCATACAAGAATAGGCATTAAATTCCGAATTTTCATCGCATGATTGTTTAGTTATTGCTTCATTTTCATATCGTTCAGCAATTACAGTGGTTACATCCGAAGTAACAGAATTAAATTGACGATTGAATGATTTGTCTAAAGATTTAAATTTATTATTATGTAGTTCCATTAAACGTTTTATTTCTTTCCTGCGTATTTCATATTTCATTTCAATACGTCTACGATAATCACTTTCTTCACGATTCAATATTCCCAAAAATGTATACAATTCTGATAAACTAAATGTGGTCCACTAAGAATGAAAAAACAAAACAAAGCAGAGACATTATCTTGTTATATATATACTATGATGAGCTGAGTTCAATATCCCTTCTCAGTAAAAATACAATCGTATAAACAACTTAATGGAACTGTATACTAACTTGAGATTAATGGCGATGAAATATTTAGCTACAGTTTTTGTGATATGCTTCAAATGATAACTAATGTGTCATTAAAGGCTCTAGTATCAACCAGAGCTTTCAATCAGCAAGTTGCGGGTTCAAATTAAGCTTCATCTATTTATACATCGGGTAAGTAATATCAGTGGCAGTCAGATGAGTAGTGTGGCTCAAGGTAAAGTACATAGCTACCTACTTGGTAGAGAAGTGACATAATACTTCAAACCTTGGTGGAGATATGGTCAATATGTTAAACACGCAACTTCCAGTTACTAAGTTCCATATTTAAACCCCGTTCCACTTGGGCTTGAGAGAATTTACGGTAACACTAACCTCAATGTGAAAAGTATGGCTTGAAACAGAGTATTTAGAGGTGTACTTAGTAAATACGTTCCATTAACAATCCTACCATAGTATAAATTTCCATATGAGAATGCAGCATTTTCTTGTCCAGTTTCGACTGCAAACCTTGGTTTAAAAAATGACCAGAAAATAGTATCTAATGAAACACCTCAGGAAAAATATTATCTCGTTGCACAGATCACATTTTCATTCATCACTACCTCAAAGATATTACAGAACTTATATCTGAATTCCAATAAAAGTTATCAGTTAAAAATTAAATCCAGATACTTTTTACATGAAAGTTCTTAGTATTTGAATGCAACGAGCACAATATATCTATCCACAAACAGTAGAAAATTTTATGCTTTTAATTGTCTCGTAAAAACAATACAGTGATATATACGAATATTCGTCAAGATTAGAACGAATAATTTGATAGAAATTGGGCGCCGAGTATAGAGAAGTTATTATATGTGAAAATTATATTTGAAATAATCTCAGGGATTGAAATTTAAATGTAATTAGGATTATTATCCTGAAGAAGTCCTGACAAGTTAGCTGGACGAAATGTTGGAATTATTTAAATTTCAATCGCTGAGATTATTTCAAATATAATTTTCACATATAGTACAGTGATAGTCTGATAACAAGCACATTTATCCCAAAAGTTTATAAATCCCATTTTAAAAAAACCAATCATTCTATAAACACTAAAACAGCTTGTAAACTAAATATGATTCGATAAACAATTACTAAGCAATAGGCTTATTCAAAGTGTCCAAATCAGCTGATTAATAAAATATATTATTATCACATATAAGTACAATTGTTTGCATTGAGCATATTTTCAATGAGAAATTTTCTTAATGAAAAGTTATTATTAGGATCTTTAGAAGAAAACAACATATTTCTAGTTAAATTGTAATTTGTAAAAAAAAAAATAATGATTGAAATCTTAGATGCCTAAGCAAATCTACTTGAGGTAGTATAAATTTTGAAGCCTTCTCAAAAGTCATTGATATTTAATGATTCAATAATGTTTTTACAGTTGATTTATCAATAAAGTAAATTGCTCAAATTATTACGAATTTGTCATAAAACAGTTAGAATTTAATACGTATATTTTTAATACATCGAGCTATCCGTTTAACTGAGATATTTAATTGATATAAATGGACCACCTCCAAGCTACAAACAGCTTTCTGTGAAATTTCTGAAATAACAAAGATGAACATATTTAGGTTAAAACCAAGCTGATAACTAACTTGAACAGACAGGCAGCACACATTAAAAGGATTTGTCTTGATAGAAGATTTGACAGTGTGCTCGAAAAAATATTGTAATCAAATAGGAAATAAAACCTGTGTGTACCGTCGTAACATATTTAAATTAATTACCATGTATAGGTTATTATTATACAAGCTTTTGAGCTACATAATTTGCTGACGAAGGGTCAGGATGCTTGCTGTCTCGTTCTACAAATCGAAGTAAGTGGGGGTAGCGGACGTACGTGAGATGCGGAGGTTAATCGTCGTGTTCTGTAACCACTGAGGCAGTGATGTCTCGTAGGTAGATATACTATGGATACTGATTATTTGTCCTTTTTAGATGATTGGTAAACCTCGCCTGTAACCCTTCTAGGGTCACTACCGGTCCCAAGCCCGGACAAATGAGGAGTGTCGGGCATGGGGTCAGCAACTCCATCTCTCAGAAAACAGCATTGCTGAAAAAAACACTAACCAGAGAAACTCTGGTCGACAGGCTGTACTCTCACGAGGGGTGAGTAACAGGCGTAAGTAAGCAAGATGATTGATAACACACAAGCAATAAATAACTTACTTCAATATCACCAGTTTCATTCTCCTGTAATACTAATCGCTTCACACTCAGAATGTTGTTAAAATTACTTGGATCTTGATCGGCCCACTTGAATAGTAACCCCAACGGTGATTCATTATCAAATAATTTTCGTACAGAAACTAAAGGATAAAAGAGAAGTTGAATGTAATCAAAACTGTCTTCAATTAAATTTATAATCTTTGAAGAGCAGAGACAGTTAATGCTCAATGGAAATTTGATTGAAAGAGAAGAAACTAATATGAGGAAAAGTTTATAACTGTAACACATTAGGTAAGAAAAGGTTTAATGTAAGCAGTTTTGGACTACACACACACTTTGTACAAAAGATAATCAAACTACTCAATCATCTAAACCGAAATCGACGGAGCAATGAGTTCGGATTAGTATAATTACTATAAGCTAAGAGATAAGCAGGTAACATGGATACACTGATTGATCACCGAGTAATCAACAATATTATGCTTCTTTAATCCTTCGTGAAGAGTAAATTCGATCGACCAATTTTTAATGTGGTCATTAGTCTAGGTAACTCGAAATCCTGTTCACTATTTTTCAATGCTAGACAGAGTCAAATGGTAATTGTAACCTAGTGACCTAATTTGAATGTTTATAAGGTTGAACAAAAAGAAAATATGGATCATGTACGTTAATCAATAAGAGTAACACTTGTAAAATATTATGAGTTCATGCATAAATACACATGTAAATCAAAGTTATGTAACAATCTAAGCCTCCGGTAAACAATTGTAACAAGCTAAATGGTTGTCTTTTGCATATAATGTAAAGGTTGCTAGACAAATATGGAGTTGAAGTATCAAACAGAAGTGATATTTTATACAATAATCTATGCCATAAACATGGATTATGATAATAACATTCAGTCAGCAGACACACGGATACATAAACAAACACTATCACGAAAAATACACTGGATTTGAAAGAAAAATGAACAAAAGTTAGCTAAGCACTGTTCGTAGAAGCAATAAAAACGATCGGTGCAGTTAAAATTTAAACTAAAAATCCTATTTAACAGGTTAACAATCTAATAGCTCATTAGAATTTTCATAGATTAGAATTTTTAGACAAATCACAATTAGTCTATACTTTGGTTGAAGTACCTTGCTTGCTTGCTTACGCCTGTTACTCCTCGTGAAGGAGCATAGGCCACTCACCAGCATTCTCCATCAAACCCTGTCCTGGACAGTCCTTTTCAGCTCATCCCAGTTCCTATTCATCCTTTTCATATCTGCTTCTATTTCCCGACGTAATGCGTTCTTTGGCCTTCCTCTTTTCCACCTTCCTTCAGGATTCCAAGTTAGGCCTTGTCTCGTGATGCAGTTTGACGATTTGCATAGTGTATGTCCTATCCATTTCCATCGTCTTTTCTTAATTTCCTCTTCAGCTGGAAGCTGGTTTGTTCTCTCCCACAAAAGGCTGTTGCTGATGGTATCCGGCCAATGGATGTTGAGTATCTTGCGTAGACAACCATTTATAAATACTTGTACCTTCTTGATGATGGTTGTAGTAGTTCTCCAAGTTTCAGCTCCGTACAGTAGAACTGCCTTGACGTTCGTATTGAAGATTCTCACTTTGATATTGGTTGAAAGTTGTTTTGAGTTCCATATGTTCTTCAATTGTAGGAATGCGACTCTTGCTTTGCCAATCCTCGCCTTTACGTCTGCATTTGAACCTCCTTGTGCATCGATGATGCTTCCAAGGTACATGAAGGATTCTTCATCTTCCAGAGTTTCGCCATCAGGAGTGGTTGGATTGCTGTTCCCCGTGTTGTATATGAGGATCTTGGTTTTCCCCTTGTGTATGTTGAAGCCTACTGATGCAGAGACTGCTGCTACACTGGTTGTCTTTATCTGCATTTGTTTGTGTGTATGCGATAGGAGGGCTAGGTCATCTGCGAAGTCCAAATCGTCTAATTGATTCTGAGCTGTCCATTGTATGCCGTGTTTTCCCTCAGATGTCGAGGTCTTCATAATCCAGTCGACCACAAGAAGAAAAAGGAAGGGAGCGTAGACAGCCTTGTCTGACTCCGGTCCTTAATTGGAATGCGTCTATCAGCTGTCCTCCATGCACTACTTTGCACTGTAGTCCGTCGTATGAGTCCCGGATAATGTTGACAATCTTCTCAGGAACTCCGTAATGTCGAAGAATTTTCCATAACGTTCTCCTATCTACATTGTCAAATGCCTTTTCATAATCAATGAAGTTGATGTACATTGAAGAGTTTCACTCAACTAATTGTTCGACGATTATCCGTAGTGTCGCAATTTGGTCTATGCACGATCTATCCTTACGGAATCCAGCTTGTTGATCTCGAAGTTGGGCGTCTACTGCATCTTTCATCCGGTTCAGCAACACTCTGTTGAAGATTTTCACTGGTATTGACAGCAGTGTAATGCCTCTGTAGTTCTCACATTTGCTCAGATCTCCTTTCTTTGGAATCTTGACGAGGTGCCCTTCTTTCCAGTCCATCGGCACTTGTTCCTCCTCCCAAATCGAAGTAGCGGTAACTTCCAAATATTAAGCTGCGGGTTCGAATCTCTCACAGCTTTAAATCTCATACACCAATTTTTTCTGCAGTTTATTAAAGACCAAGATAAACCTAGCTGCCTAGTGGAACTAATTTTTATGATGATTCCGGAACAAAAATTGGAATAGGAAATTTAGAACAAAGCTTAAAGGCCATGACTCAATATTTTCGTGTTAAATTTGCTGAATTCGTTAGCTGATAAGTAGAATTTTTTTACAATCTTTGTAAGTAACCTAGCACTGCTGTGATATAGTAGTTTCAAAGATATTACTCCCGAGACTGATTGAAAACAAATATAGGTCCATTTATTCCATTGCACATTTAACCCATTAATAGAAAATTTAAGAAAGTAGGTCACAAGCTATTTATCTAAACTCTGAAATAAGTGAATTAATTTGCAAAATGTTGTTATCAAGAAAAAACATGATATAGAGCACGATTAAAAACTATAGAACACTGTGTGGTTAGTCATTTCCCGATTTTAGGATCTATAGGAATGAATAATTTTAGCTTAAGAACAACACTGAATCCAGGATTTATAGGTTTCACAATAAGCATTCTGTGCTCGGATTACTGCTAAAATCCACTGACTTCATCCAAACCGTGATATAGTAAAGCCATTCAACGTAATTCATGTACAATGTTAAATATGTGGGAAACTCCTCTAGTTAATAAACAATCGAGACAAAATTGTCAAGTCCAATATGAACAGTGCAAGTGTAGCGAGTGTTTACTTTACTGACCTACTGTGTGTTCATCCCTAGCCCCCTCAGCAATAAGAATAATATCAAAACACAACCAAGTGAAAAGCTAATACATAATTACAACCCAACACACTATGAATACCGTAAACTATGCTTCAACACTTTAATGATCTAATCATCTGTTTTAGAAAGACATATTAAAGTATTACAACACATCACATGACATCGTTATAACTGACCTTTCTGATCACCTTCAATTGTGTGTTCATATAAAGCAAACTTTTGAGGATTATCTCGTATACCAAATCGATCAAGTAGTGCACAGATAACCATTTGTGCAGTTGTCGATCTATAGAATAAAATAAATGCACAAAAAATAAACTATTTTTTTCTTTTAAAGCCATTCACATCAGTACTTCACACACAGAGAAAGATAATCAACATACTAGACTTTTAAATGCAATCTATTTGAGCTATTTATCAATTAAAAACCTCTTTTAAATAAAATCCATTGAAAATTAAATATATTTCAAATTAACAACTATGCGATATATCATCATTGAAATAGTGCTCTTTACTAACAAACTATTATATTGATTATCACTTTACACTAAATCAGTAGAAAAGAAGTATGAGTTTGTATATCAAGTGGTAAACAACGAAATCATTAAAACTAAATAAAAATATCACTTAAACTAGTCATGTTTATTAATTGATGGACAATAAATAGGTTGAAAGATAATGTATACATACACGTTGAAATTTTATAACTTATTTCTACTAAAATTTGTGTATAAAATGAACTGAGTAGAACGAACTCATTTACCAAGTACAGGTTAGTGTGTATTCATCTTTTCATTACACTTTATGTGTAAAGCCCAGTGATATTACTTGGCTGGCATAAGCGAAGTAGGTGGAGAGGGATCCGAACTGACCACCTAATAGTTGAGATTTAAACGCCCTAAACACTAAGCTACCGCTCGATAAACCTTAGAGAATTAAGCAATCAATCTCCTAAGTTTGGGACACTTTAACTGTATTTACCCACGAGTTCATATGGAACAGAAACTAGGACTCGCATATTCACGGTGAGCTCATATTGAATATATTACATGTCAAGAACAAATATTAAGTTTCTACTTTACACTCATAGAACAGAAGTAACTTACAGTCGAACATGCAACAATTTTGTGCTTCCTCTTGGTAACCGAAAAGTAGATACTGTTGAAGTTGTTCTACCTAACCGACGATGTGACTCAACAATATTTCCATCAGCTTTATGCACTTTATTATTTGGTGAAAAATATGGAATGTTGGCTGATACAAAGGAATGTGGTGTATTAGAAGGGTGTTGTTTCGAAACAAGATGGCAGTTATTATTGTTGTCGCCTTGGACCAACCAAAGATTCTGATCATCTTCAGATCGATCACTAACATCTGCCCCATCGTCATCTTCTTCATTATCATCATCATCTGTTTCATCGCTTTTTGCACCAACTACGTCGAAAATGGAAGCTGGTCTAGCTGTAAGTAACATTTGAATAGGGCGGAGTAAGTTTATATGTACACGAACTTGACCTTCGCAATCACATGAATCAGCACCAGTTAGCTGTAAACGGAAAAATATAATAACCCTGTAGTAAACAGAACACTGGAAATACACAGGATAAACATTAAAGTTGACGAACTATCTTCGACCACTTTATTTATTTGAACACATAACTATTGGTACAAAGGGGGCACCGAATACATATGCGCCACACAAGTCACTTGATTTGTATATAAGCTGTGGTACTGCCGGGTGTCCAAACCGAAGCGGGTGGTCCCCTTAGGGGGCCAGCCCCTGGGTCTTTGACCTAAACGTCTGATCCACAAGTCAGTGGAGCAACTTCAGGAGATGCAGTCCCATGGTAACCCGTGACCAACGATTGGTCCATACGCCGTATGGCAACTTGGACCGATGCATAAATGTGCCGGATCCTAAGTTGCAGCTGACTGACTGACTCAGGATACTGGAGTCATGTGTACCATTGGTTCAAACAATTCATCTGGCAGCCGAGTTTGAGGCTCCATAGTAAATTTGAGAACTATCTCACTTCAATTGTTAAAGCCTTCAGAAATATGATTGATATCTAATGTCTTCCATAAACCCAGTAACAAATATCAGATCATTCGACTAAAGGCTCAGATAAAAAGAGTGTAACCGTTAAATTTACCTCTACATTCAAAAAGACGGTTACAATTCTTCATCAAATTAGATGGAATGATATAATTTACGCAGGAAAATCATATTAGGTTTAGTGTTTAAATAAATATACAGTCTGACATGCAAGCTACACTGCAAGCACATTATTAAAATGAGCTCATATCAATGAAATCATGGTAATCAATGCAACACATTTTCCAAGTACACATTTATATGCTTGTCTTCAAGTAACTTCCCAATGTGAAGGCTAGTGATACTACATAACAGACCAAACCAAAGGTAGGGGGAGCCGGATTCAAACCACTAAACTAATGAGTCAAAATCAAAGTGGCTTCATATACTAAGAAAAAATAATACTCGAGTGTTTAACATGGTCCAATAAGACTGATCACAACAAGTGACACTGAAGTTGTTGTATTCATACACTTTACGGTTACTGATGGATTGACAGCCAATATGATGAGCTGGTAATTAACTGATCACAGTGCAAGTAATACACGAAATCGACTTTTTTCCATTCGTCTGTGACAGATAACTACATACCAGAAGGAAGTTATGATACAAATTAGTCTGTTAAGTCTATCTGCTGGTTACAGATGCTTAACAGTATAACATCATAAATATAGGTTCACATAGTAAACTTTTGATTAATCGATACGACTCGTCAAAGTATACAAATCTGATTGTTAATCTAACTGTAAATAAATTATATGAAAAGTGGTGTATTCATATATCATTTTGATCTATCTTGGGCGCAAAATATATTCTTATTTATGGTCCTTGTGTTTTACTTGAGTCATTTGATTTACGGGTTTCCAGTTACCAGGTATCAAATCAGTTAAGTATCCCCACTTATTCAACAAAAGCCCTTAAAACATAAATAACGCAAATCTACGAACCAAAAAAGATGATGTTCTCCTATTGTTATTACTAACCATAAAACTAATAATTTATAATCCCTTAAGTTTATCCTTTATTTGTCTGTGACTGCAAGAGTTCTTTAAAATCATAAATCTAATTATTTTGATTAAACACGAGTGGATAGTATGAAGGGAGTAGAGCTCTTGAGCATTAACAGAATAGAACAAGGTAGAATGTAGTCCAACACTACATTTACTCACGTTGCTACACATTGCAAAGACACAAATAAAAAACATTATTAGTCAACAGAATTAACCAGAAGGATATGAGTAAAAGGACAGTGTGTTTGCACAAGTTATCAAGTTCCAGTAATCTCAACTGAAGTTTTCAATAATCGACTAATAACAGTGTTGGGTCGGCTTCCGGAGAACTTCAACGGAGCCTCCAGAGGCCCACAAGGAGCCGAAGAGTCCTGGCCAATCAGAGTGTGATGGAACGTTCTAGAATTCCAACGTGGCGTGTAGCATAATGTGTTGTTATCGGATTGGCTGTAAAATGATGTTGATTTAACAGACGCCAAAATCTATAAATACCCATGACTTTCTGTACAAAGATGAACCTTGGAATAAAGTGCTTTCTCTCATTCTTGTGTCTTCTCTCTGGAGTTCAAGTCGCTGTGTAGTTCTAGACTGCGGGTTATCGGAATAGCTTAGGAATCGTATATAGCGTCCAACCTACACGACTTATCAAACAGCAAGCCAGAAAGTTTACAATTCCTAGGTCAATATTTAGAAACATTGTTAGCTGGTATGATCACTCGGAGACTAACCAGTACTTCATATTGCAATTCGGTGGTCGTATCAAACACGCATTGATTTGAGATGGTTTTGCCAACACTTCTTACATTGTTTATGATTTCTCAAATTTTGCAATATACCTGATTTCTCAATCAATTATATCCTCTAAATATGGCATGTTAAAAGCTTTGGTAACAAATATTCCTTACAATAATTATGGCAAGTATTGGGTTTAAGACGAACTTACACTAGCAGCTTGTAATCCGAATTCATTTACACTAAAGATTTGAATTAACTGTTTCAAACGATCAGAAGACCAAGGCAATATTGCTCGCGGTCCAACCACCATAGGGATTAATGGGAGCGCGTTTGAAGAACGTAGATGAGTTTGAAAGCTTCGTTTTTGTTTGGTTCGAACAAATTCCTGAGTTGTTTGCATCACACTGGCAAGGCCAATATCAGAAACTTCTTTTTCTGGAAACGAACTTTCATCTGAACGGGTAAAAGGATTGGAGTTCGAGGTATCTGAGATAATATTTGTGTTCTGAAGTGGTTTAGAAGTGTTTTTTAATTCAGTAAGAGATGGGCTTAGTTGTCTCACAAGAATCCCTCGATCTCGAATTGCCTCCTTATCTAAGCTTGAAAAATCATAAGCTAGGCAAAGGTTTGGTTTATTTCCGCATAGAAATGAATGCCTACTGACTAATTTTACATCAACTGATGTTTTCGATTTGTGAAACTCAGTAGCACGCCTTGACAATGTTGATTGAGATAAACATTCAGCCTTCTGCATTATTGATATTCCATTATCCAGTTTAGCAGGAACGTTTAACGGTGTGTTGAAGTTTGTAGTCATGAAAGTGTACTGACCTTTAATGATTGTAATAGAAAGAAGTAAATTTAATCAGAAACCACGCGTTCGATTAATAAAACTCCATTTCTTTAGCGTGAATCAAATAGAATAAAAAAATTAAAACCTGTACCTTACAATAAATTCATTGTTTACTTCTTTGTGAAAGCAAAGCCAAAAAAAGAAGTTATTTGGAACCAAAAAAGCAGGAAGTCGACAACCTATACAAACGATTATAACTGACTACGAACTAAACGTCGCACAAAACAGAAATGTTGTTAAGGAAATAACAAGCACGTGTTAATTCCATGAACAAACACTTTTATGTATGGTCAAACAACTACATCGAGGTAAAGACAATAATTTGTTTTTCCGCATATTGGATGCTGAAATCTCTAGTTCTCAGTAATAGCGAAGTTGCTTACGACAAACGAGTAGTATAAATATCAAAACAGGCCGATTTCTAATTTGAATGTTCATGAAAGATCAAAGGTGTTAGGGATCTGCAATACCTCTCAAAATACTCGTAAAAGTTCGCGATATTTTAACAAAGTCCTAATCATTGTCATCAATAGGCGAGAATGCCGAACACGAAACTGATTCTCTTGAACTAAATCTTCACGTCAAAGGTTTTAAGGGTGAATTATACCAATGAAATAATTTATTTTCGTGTACAAACTCGAGTAGTGCCACAATCTTCGCAAAAACCATGATAATCCAAAGTGAAGAGTACAAATTATGTACTCTATAAAAACCTATTACCAGTCCTTAATTGGATTACGGTAGATAAACCTTATGTTTCTGCTAATAAAAATAATATATTTGTAATATCCCAATGAGTAGAAGAACACAATTTTCTGACATTTCATGACGGAGTGGCCTCTACTAAGTCATGAAATGTCAGAAAATTGTATTCTTCTACTCATTGGAATATTAAAACCATATTATTTTTATCAGTAACAATCCAACCAATGTTCAATTTATTTGAAATCAAACCTTGGTAATGATACCTACAAAATTATATTTCTGCAGTTTTATTCTTAATTAGTTTATACTCTTGCTCATCTTAATTTTATTGAGCATCTAACTTCCATCAGAAGTTCTGAATAACCTAAACAGTCTTATTTTGCAAAACGGTCGCTTCCCAAAATGTATTCCGAAACCAAACATGTTCTTTATGAACTATTACGTTCGACGTATGTTCATATTATTGACACAGACTTGGCAAAAGACAGGTCTGGGCATAATCGTGAAATTATAATTAATCTATAAAAATAATGAGAGCATATTATTTTCTTAGCCCAAAATTGATTTCTAAAATGTTTTATCATCGATTTACCTACAGAGATCACTGATGTATGATAGTGGGAAGTTCTAAAAACAACATGAAAAGTTTACTGTGTCTTAGTTTTGAAAATCCATCAGTTAACGTCATTTACAAGTCAAAAAGTTATCTTAGTTTATCCATGGTACGACCATTACATAAGCTTGAACCTCCTATGAAAGACATTCTAATGTCAGTTTAGGGATGTTTTTTAATGCAGACTAGCTGAGCTGCAATATATTACATTTTTGCATATGAATAAAGTGAAGACGATATGTTTTACGGTGGCTAAGCTATTTTAGCTTAAGTATTTTTAATTAGTAAAGGAATGTGAGTAATAAAATAAACATTAACAAAGTAGTATTAAAAATAACACTAACTCGAACTAGGAGAGATTGATTGTAAAGCAACTCTTTCGAACGCAAGATGATCAATCGTTTTGTCAACAGGACTATTCACTCCATCTAATTCATTTGGAGAAACAGTATCAAGTAATGGTATATCACATTCAGAAGTTAGGTGATTATTTACATGGAAATCCAGTTGGGAAGACTTAACTAAAGTTCCTTCAGACGACATATAATTAGTGCTATCGTTTTCCGGACTTGTTGATAACTTAGAGACTGAGCTGTCAACCTGCTGAAGTAAAACAGATTGAAACGTTGGAAATATATATTTTGTATTACAACTAAACATTAACTGATTACAAAAACGGAAGACTTAAAGAAGTTTATGTTCCACTATTTAACACACAAAAATTTATGTCATTCTCTAAAATGTTATTTCAGAATACTAATAATATTAGCCGATTATTGCTCGAATAACCATAGACAACGACTGCTTCGTCATTATGTATAATGTACAAATAGCACATATCCAGTAATCAGCAGATTTATGAGACAATTGAGAAACGAAAGTCACTTAATTATTAGTCACACATGAATAACTTTCCTTGAGTCAGAAAACTAAAACTTATTGTTATCATTAATTTGGATTCTAACTGGGTTTGTACTATAAATCTTAATATATTAGTTTACATTATAAGTACAGTAAAAGGTGGATGACGAATAAAATCTAAATAAAATAGGCGACGATTGAAAACGTTTTTGTACTATTAAAATACTTGTCATAGTTTAAGCTTAATTTTCAGTGCAACTGATTAGCTAAATACACTTTTATGCATTTAGAGTTGATCCGTTGTATGAATACTAACCACACTATCAAATTTCCTAGGTACAAAGAGTGTAATGGGGTTTAAATTTGCATCTCAAACTTCAGGTAGTGAAGACATTATGGAGAACCATACTCAGAAAAAATCTAGGTTTTTGTTCATGTACTTAATCGGTAACAGATATGCTCGCATTGTAAGACATTCCACTTTACTGTTATTACACAATTTAATGTTCAACAGTAGTATTATATTTACGAAGGACAAAAAACAGCGAATTAATGGTGATATTTATATTCTTTAGACAGAAAATCACCGACTCCATAATACAATGAGATTGTACATACACCGTGTCATATTATCTTATTAATGAGCTAAACAAATTAAAGAGTTAGTAATTTAATCGACTTTCAGGTGCCTCAAGAAGCAGCCGCTCACAGTGATGGAAACTGTGAAGCGACAACTGTTTTCATATTTCTAACAGCGCTCAAGTTAATCCTGTGTATAATCAAATCTCCACTACACTTCATAATACTTTTTCTACTTCAACTACCAACTCTCATTTTGTTTTCGACTTCTTCCACACATGCCACTAGTGTTAACGATCTTAGTTCATGAATTGCTATCTCAATTCTCCTAAGACCACTCTTCAAACTGCATATTGGAACTTTCAGTATCCAAACCTTAGGTTGATTCAGACAACAGGACTTAGCTAAAACCCGAGAATTTCGTATCATTAATGTATGCTATCTCTCCAAAGAACGGATACAAGATCCTAGAGTACTCATACATCTGACCTTATGTAACCAATGCAGAGATCTAGTGAGAAACACCCTTCGTATATCTGGGAATGTAATAGTAGCTTCTTATGATCTCCCCACTGTACGTATAGCACTGTCTGGAAACAGAACAGGCAGTTCTGGATTGAATCCTTGTAGATAACTACTTATATGCTAGCCATCTTAACGGTGTAGTAAGAGCTCCTTCGTCGTTTCTGCCTATGCTTTCAATGGCTACAGCTTGGATGGAGTAAGAGATGAGTTTTACAGGAAGTCTGAGAAAGCTTATTCGGTCCTTAATAGATTACGCATCTATTGAATTGTGAGCGATATCTGCTGACCAAGGGGTGAATATACTATGAAGCAGCCCCATTTTAAGTTAAGGCTGTGAAAAAAATAGTCTAAGAAAGTAAAAAAACAAGCATTATAAAGTTTTTGGACATAGGTAGTTTTTGAACATTACTCATGTATCGTGAAACGACTGAGTGAGTAGTACTGTGTTTAGGCATAAGGTATGAAGAAAAGATGAGATTGTGAAATTTCATCAACTGAGATGGTTAGCATACACCTTACTTATAACCAACTACTGTCTACCTTGGTGAGTATTGTGAGTTGATGTAGGAGAAAACTAATATTGTTCAAACCAAAATGTGGGGTCAATCAATGAAATAACTTACTGTTGGTCTAAGCAATGTTGACAGATGCAGACTATCTGGTTTGGATCTATACGATAACCATGATCAATGGTTGAAGAAACTGGGTAATATGGCTCAGAATCAGTCACCATAGTGCATATACATTCAATCTTTACTCCAAAACTTCAGTCCTAACATCCCACTTGTTAGCGGAATATAGAGTGGATTAAAGCGCGTTCCATGGAGGATTTTGTTGAGGCACGTTGATTGGCTACTTCTCGTCTAACTAGAGCTAGTGGACAGTTCAAGAATATTCTAGAATCTTCTCGTGTAAAAATTATAAATATACTAACGTTTTTCTTATTGTAACCCCTACTTTCATCTACCGTTGGTATTTGGAATATAATTTCGTTCCTGTTCAACCGTGTTCTTATTTGGGGACTTGTCGAGTGAATCGATGTGTGTGGGCTGTAATACTGCCCGGGTTCCCAGACCGAAGCAGGTGGTTTTCTTAGGAGGCCACTCCCCGAGCCTTTGACCTAAAGGTCTGATCCACAAGGCAGTGGAGCATCGTGAGGAGATGAATTCCCATGGAAGCCGGTGACCAACGATTGGTTCATACGCCATTTGTTCTCGCAGGATACTGGAGCCCATGTGCACCATTGGTTTGGAATCTGGTTAAAGCGCCGGACATTCGCTTTTCGTCCTCTCATTTTTGTAAACAACACCCCTGCCACGAGAAGGCAATGAGTAGGACTTCCCTGGCAGAGGCTGTATACGCGTGGCCGTGTGAGAGCATTTCGAGAGGGAAGGTGGACCCACCCCACTCTCGGCCATACCAGAGCATCGATGTCCAAAATTACTAAGCAATAGGAGTAGCTGTGTCGTAATAAAGAAAAATTATAACACTACTAAACATAAATTACCAGTCTGTAGTCTCGAATTATATTTCTCACTGCTCAATAATTCTCATTATCATTGCACCTACATTACTCGTAATCCCATTGGTATGCATCTTAATTTTATTATAACTGTGCCAAAGTTGGTAATTACAACTTGGCTCGATGCATATTTGTACAAGGCTTTATGTTGATTACGGCTAGATGATCTGAAATAGGTTTCGCTTGACAACAAAGCCTAGCAATATAAAATTTGATAAAAGTTGTCGGTTTATTATTATTATTAAAACGATGTGCGATCCCTAAAACTGACAACACACATCACAGTGAATGAAATGAGTTTAATTAAAGGAACTACTCATAAACAGTTGCTATTTACTTATATGATGGTAAAATGAAAACATGCTTACTTGTTCTAAATCGTTCCCCGAAACAATCATTGGGGGAAATAGATTTGGTTCAGTAACTTGATGAGAGGTCTTGGCGTCTTCATCACACAAAACTGTAACCTCAGTTTTGCACAGCCAGTGACAGGTCATATGGCATTCTGAAGAAATAAAAATACAACACAGTTTTAAATAGTTTGTTATGGATCAGTTTCACAATACGGTTACACTTTTGTTTATTTTGTTGGAGTTTGGTTTTAGGGGTGAAAGTGGGGTTACTTGTAAAGTACAAATGTTTGGAAAACCCAAACAACATTTTCACTGTAAATTTACGCTTTTAGAAATGTAATCAAAAGGCAAACAAATTGATGTAACAAGACTTTCATGTTAGCAAGGTGTATGAAAAAAGGATATCAGATAAGATGCAGATAGAAAACTGTGAACTTACGTCTTGTGCAAGCTCACACAAGCTAAAAAAACACGGTCAGTCAGTTAGTCATACCGTTTTTTCACTAATCTAAATTAAAGTTGTGATGCATTGCACGTGGTGTCAAATGACTGAGATTAACTTATAACACATTCAAGATATAGTACTTGTACCTATTGACACCTATCAGTAAGATATGAGTGCATTTGTACGACATTCCTTCCTCTTGATCTTAAATACCCAGTGATCCGGACCAAAAATATTAGCTTAGTCATGGTTTGGTCACGCAATTCTTTAAAATATCTATAAACACGGAAAAAGGAAAGCGGTTAAGTAATCAGTTAGTATTTCCTCCAATCTAAAACAAAACAATTATTAATACCCATTATTCTACCAATTAGGTATGAAATAATCGAAGACAGATTTATTCATCTTATTCTTTATTACTATTTGTTTTCTTGAAGGGAACTTGAGGTGACGAATTTACGTATGCATTCGTCATGTTTACTGAAATTTCCCGATCCCGTAGTCATTCGGTTTCTAAAGGTCTGACAAAACGACGAATAAACACAACTTCTATTTTATTTATCCCACTTCATGGCTAATACTAGTTTAGTAAGTAAGCACAGCAAAATTAGCTCTAGCATCACCCTAGCAGAGTTAAAAGAAAAGCAGCTGGGTGAAAGACAACTATTAGAGATTAGAGATTTGAAAGATAGGCAGAGGAAGCAGCTGTTGTGCCTTCATAAAGAGTTAGGGTCGTCAAGGCTACAAGAGAACATATGTGGTAAAGTATCTTCTGCCTCCAATTGTGATGACAGAGAACAGGAGTATGTTTACAGTTTCGTAAGCCGTTCTTATGACCTTAGAATAAAGTCCCCAGGAAAGTCAAAACTGTTAGATTGTCCAGGAACGAAGAAAAAGGAAGTGACCTTGGCATCTCTAAATGTGGGTCTTGAGCTCCCAAAAGTAGAACTAAGTACTTTTGATGGGCAACCAACCAAATACTGGAAATTTATCAGACAATTCAAGTTATATGTGGTATCCAAGGTCGAAGACGATGGTCAACGGCTCTTGTTCTTGTCACATTATTTTAAAGGGAAGGCTCGAGAGGCCATAAAAGAATGCATAATGCTTCCACCATCATTGGGTTATCGTATAGCATGCGATATATTGAAACGGTTGTTTGGCAGAACACACGAAGTAAGTCGGGCTTTGCTGAAAGATTTGACTGAAGGTCCCGATATTGCACATAATGACGGAGAAAGTCTGTCTACGCTAGCAATAAAAATGGAAAACTGTTCTATGGCTTTAGAGCAAATGGATTATTCAGCGGATCTCAACATTGTAGTAACTATAGAAAGTAAAGAGGTTGCCCACGGCTTTACAGATGAAATGGGCTGAAACAGTCGGAAAGGTAACAGCAAATGGAAGAGAGCCTACTTTTGCCGAGTTAACAGAATTTGTATCATCTAGAGCAGAAATTTTACTGAGCAGATTCGGGTAGATTGCAACAGCTAGTAAACGAGTTATAAGCAAGGTAGCCTGTTCCGCACAAGAATTGTCGTTCGGTAAAATTTTTAGCAACTCACCTTGTGTTATATGCGGAGAAAATCATAGGATTGATAAATGTTCCCATTTCTCTACATTGGCAGTCAACGATAAGTGGGCGAAAGCGAGAGAAAAGGGTTTGTGTTTTTGTTGTCTTAGAAGGGGCCACAGATCAGTGGATTATAAAGATCGTGTTGTGTGTACTATCGAAGGTTGCCGGAATCGACATCACCCACTGTTGCATAAACCCATTAAAGTTCAGAGTGCTTCGAGTGAGCATTTTGAAGAAAGTCATTGTACACAGAGTCACTAAAGGAGGATGTGTTTCTTGGTCTAATCCCTGTGCGCTTTAGAGCTGGGGATAAGGAAGTTTGTGGATATGCGTTTCTAGACAACGGCTCAGATACAACCCTAATCAAGTCAAGTACCGTACGACTTTTAGGTTTATCGTCAGAGAGTGCATCGATCACTATCATAACAGTAAACGGAAATAAGTTAGCCAGATCGACAACCAAAGCTTTTGAAGCCTACTCATTAAACGGAAACGAATGTATATGTATTGAACAGGCTGTTGTATTAGATGATTTTCCAGTGCATAGACCAATAGAACCTGTGAAGGACAGTTCTAAAAACTGGCCCCATCTTATGGATTTACTTTGGCCAGAGTTAATGGGTGGCGAAGTTACGTTGCTTATCGGTTGTGACGTGCCTGAAGCGCATTGGGTCCTGAACCAAAGGTTAGGTGGAAAAGAGTCCTTATGCTGTTAGGACACTGCTAGGATGGGTTCTTTTTGGACCAGCAGGTCACAACAAACATGGGAAAAGGATTGTAAATTATGTTTCTCAAACTGATGACCCTGTGGAGCATAACCCTGAGTTTGCTGACTATTCCTCTGATAAATCGTTATCTCTGAATGATTCAAACGTAAGTGGCATAGGAGAGCGCGACAATTACTTCGATGGAAGTTACGAAATTGTTCTTTTACCTAGAGGAGTGGCTGAGGAAGACATTGCAGTCCCTGTTATTGGCAATGGGTCTGGTATGTGTAAAGCTGGCTTCGCCGAAGATGATGCTCCCAGAGCCGTATTCCCCTCTATTGCTGGAACAACTAGACATCAAGGAGTGATGGTGGGAATGGATCAAAAGGACAGTTATGTGGGAGACGACGCTCAATCGAAACGTGGTATCCTGTCACTGAAGTACCAAATTGAACATGGTATTGTGACTAGGTGGGGTGATATGGAGATATGGTACCGTGCATTCTACAACGAGTTGCGAGTGGCAACAGAGGAACATCGTGTTGTTGACGGAAGCTTCATTGAACCCGAAAACAAATCGTGAGATGGCACAGGTAGAGACCTTACCGACTTTGTGATAAAGTTCCTAGCTGAGACAGGTTGCAGTCTCTTTATCTATTCGTGGAACATACTCAGGCGCAGACCGGACGTTTTGCTTTATAGTAAGTTACTAGTCTTGGTGAGAAGAGGAACATATAGGGAAGCTGCGGATGCTTTGGTTTCTGAAGGGGGCCGCATAGCAGCAGACTATAGGTTAGGTTTATGGATGTACAGGCGTACTGTTGTAAGTCCTGTGCTTCACAATGATATAGAGCAGTTAGTAAGGAGAGCCATGACAGGGACGTATTTAAAGGTGTATTTGCGTAGCTGGAGGGATTATGGGGGCCGGTGTAACGGAAAGAGGACAATAAAAATCCCTGCGCAGCTTTTTGTTGGACAGTACTGTCATTTATTTGTTTCTTCTCCGTCGTGTATTTTAACCTTTGTTCAGATCTCGTTTAAATTGAGCACGGAGTTTGTGTTTCGATATAATTTAATACGAGTGTCTCGAAAACCCTTTGTAAGCTCTACAGAAGAACGTAGTCTGACCGATTCTAATACATTTTGGTTCTTCAGTCCTGTGTTCAAACCGAATACTGGCAGTTCGGTTATTACAACTCATTAATACGTTTGGCTAAATACAGTTTTGGCATTATAGCTGAAGTTAGTTCCTGATGAAAACCCTAAATCCAATTTTTAACCCTAATCACCAAACGTAAATTAGAGTTCTAACGGCTTTATAAACTTTATTTAGTCCTAATCAGTAGGTGCCTACCCTCAGGGTCACTTCAGCGTCGCTCAAAGGTCGTCCATAAATTATAGTCTCACCGAAACTAGTTCGGGTGTAATCCAATCGTATTATAGTGCATCGCTGATCACACTGAACAAACGCAAACAAGTGTACAGAAACATAAGATGTGTTCAGTGGTATAGGAGATCATGTATCAAGGTGTATATACACCAAGTTGTTACGATAATGTGACAATTGAAACAGGCAATAACAGTTTTCTTCACAATAACTGACTATTCAGGGGAAACCCATAAAGAAAGGTGTGCGCCGCTCAAGACGCTTTTATGTATTGATTAACTGTAGGACATCTTAATAAATTATGAGAACTCACTTGCACACTTTAAACATACTGGACGCCAACCAAATTCCCAAATAGGCTGGTTGCAATGATCACAAAAGGTATCACCATCAAGTGGGACGGGACAAAATAAATGACCATTACTTGAAGTTTCTTTTGAAGAGTAAATTTTATCAGCACACATTAGGTCAAGTTCGATCGCCTCTGGATCAAGCTTGGAATACAAATGCGACTGAATGCGATTTCCAGCTAGATCAAGCGAATCAGATAAGGTTAATCGCTTGAAACTAAGACGAGGACCATGGTCATTGTTTTTATTGTAGTCTTCCATGTGAATAACTCTATTGTTAGGCACTGGACTAGGATAATGTCCGTTTACATGAACACTTCCATGTGAACATGTTTTTTTTAAAGGATCAGAAGGACTTGAATCATTGCTCATCCTTAGAAAGCTAATAAATGCCTTTTTAACCTCCAACATCATTTCCAATAAATATGGTCCAATCATAAACTAGACATTTAGAGAAAAATCTTGGTGCCAGAGTACCGCACCAAAATAGACAAGGCGCATCGCAATCCTTCGATGTTCAGTTATTACGCAATTCTTGTTACGGAGTACCAAGAGTAATAGACTGGCCTGAACTTGATAGTTATTCTCAATAAATATCTCTGTTTTTCCGGGTCCTTCTTAAAGTGTACAGTGGTCTTATCTATGCCATCGGTGATATTATTTGTGTGGGGAGCTTTGTAGCGGTAAATAAAACCCCGGAGTAAATAGACTCGTAACTCTTCGATTTGCGATGCTAGCCGCATTAGTTTTACCGCAATCGCCTAGCTGAAGGCACTCGACCACGTATACACACCAGATCACGAGTGGGTACGCCGTGCTACACATCCCCTTCAAGCTTCCTCGGCATACCGACAGCCTTTCAAATATATCTTCGAACGCCTTTATTTCTATATTCTGAGTTTATTGGATTGGTATTCTTCCAATATAATGGTATTACTTGTTGAGGTGTTGTCAAACTCTGAATACCTGCGGTGATAACCACGAAACCTCTTTAATTTAGTATACTTGGTTGCCAATTAATTCAATTTAGTCATAGAGATACCACAATTGTTTGGTGTTTGACAACGCCCTTGCCAGTAACAACTTTGTATTCGAAGTATGACAATCCAGTCAAATCAGAGGATAGAAATAAAGGCGTTCGAAGATATATTTGAAAGGCTGTCGGTATGCCGAGGAACGTTGAAGGGGATGAGTAGCACGGAGTTCCCACTCGTGACCTGGCGCGTATACGTAGCCGAGTGCATTCAGCTAGGTGAGTGCAGTGAAACCGATGAGGTCAGCATCAAATGTCGAAGACTTACAGAACTATTTTTACGGGGACTCGTTCATCAATACACAGAGTGCGGACATATTTGCTAAAATCGGCTTGACCCGGTCCTATTAAAGCATCAAAGTAGCCGAGAAAACATCCCTTAGGCAGCTAATACTACACATATTAGACTGCTTGGGTTTGTACGCACGCGTTTGTTCTGAGGAATGCCACAGATACATTACAACTATTTACGGACAGCTTACTTTGCTACATGTCATTTTGCACAGAGGTTGTAAGCCGCGATCCATAAACAAGCCCATCAATGACAACATTAGACACCCACTGCTGCATTCACTCCCTTTGACCCCATATGAGTAGACCTTCACCAATCATTATGTTTATTACAAATGACATTAGGTTTGTTGACTGGTTTTTCCTATCCTCTAGTTACTGTACCGTATGTTATTTATGTGTCTATTTTTCCCCATTTAGTAGACTGCAATAACTGTTTGTTTGTAAACCAACGGTGTGAATTTATGTTTGAGGAAAAGATAAGGTTCATCAAGCCACACAGGTTACTTGTTCTGACTTTGGTCAAGCTAAGGCTCTGTACTCAACAGTCTAGGGAATATTTTGGAAGTGCATCTGTGAGAAATTACCTCCCACAAAATTTTGGTCGGTGAATTCGATTCAACTACCAACCAAAATTGCTTCCAGCAAGTGCTATGATTCTGATGAGATTCCGGAGTTGTGACCTCATGGTCTGGAAGATTATGGCGAGGACCATTTTGAAAAGAAATAAACACAAAACCAATAACCTGATACAGGTGGAGTTAGTCAGATTACGTGTAAACCAATTGTGGAAAGAAATCGAACACGAAAATCATATGTCGTTAAAGAAGTGAAGGTCTCTAACACTTGACAGGTAACAGCGAGAATGCAATATTAGAAAATCTGTATTTACAAAGAAAGAAATCTCAGGATACTATGGTACACTGACGAATTATTGGAATTTTACTAAAGTTCGAAGAATGCATCGATTGTAAATAGTGAAACTATGGTTCTGAAACTACTGACGTACGTTCAACAAGAATGAATTAAGATAGCAGATCGTTTAGAGTGACCAAATAATCATTGTTTAGATCAGTGCCAGAAGTTAAAGGTAATGGTCTTAAAGAAAGAAGAGAATTTGTACTTAGGTGCAAGTTATGTAATGTTTGTCTGAAGTCGAACCATGTAGCAAAGGTCTATCGGTCGCCAGAAGCATGTTCGGTTGAAGGGTGCGATTGTTGGCACCGTACTCTGCTTCACATGAAGCATAAGGAACGGACAATCACTGTTGAGAGTGCACACTTAGTTTTTACTTAGATTTTACCAGTGGCCTTACTCCTAAAAACGTTTTAAGGTAGTAATCTTAACATCGTTGTATGTAGCCTTCATATTAAAACCACAACCAGTAGACACAAAACTGTAACACTTCGTAGAATCTATCACAAGGCCGATTGAAAAACTTCCAAAATTAACTAAGAAACACTGATTGGGGAACTTTCTTTACACTAAACAATACTGACACTAACCAACATATCCGATCAAAACATCATAAGTATCTTCAACAAAATCACACCTTATAAAATCGGAAACCTAAGTTTTCCAAAGACCTGTATATGCCGGTCTCTATGCGAAGGCGTTTTCAAAGACAGTGTACTCGATTCCAAAACCTTAATGATTGTTCCTCATTAGTTACGATAACAGAAATATGTGTCCAGTCAGGGGCAATGCGTGAAACGTACTATCGAACCTAATAATGACCTCTCCGCACTTATCAAACTCTTTCAAAGTAAACCTAAATGTAGTTAAGGCATCGGTGACGGCGGTGACGCCATCGGCGTTCCTCAAGTTCAGATGAACGTTTTGACCATGTTCAGTTTGGTAGGTTCTTCACCGCGTTTTAATGTTTTTAGCTATCTATTTACACGCGTAGACAGATTCACAGAGTTTCCAATAGCCAAAACTGATAGCGAACATCACAGCTGAAACAATGTTCACACTCAAACTAATTATTATTATTATTATTATTATTATTATTATTATTCACAAACATCTTATGGGTACATGCGTGTTGTGAAGAAACCATTTCGGGTTTCTTCAAAAAATGCAATAATACACAATTTTCAATAATGTCAGCATTCTACTGGCCATTTAAAAAAAATTTAGAGCAATAATAGTAGAATATTAATAATAATAAATCGGGTCTGTGCAATTGAGAATATTGAATTGAGTTTAAAGTAGGAAATGGAGAAAATAAGGGAATAGAAATAAAGGAGACGTGAAATACGCAAACAGTCTAATAGGCGTGTTTACGAACACAGAACAAGAATAAACGACTATGTGTTTATCGTCAAATTAGTAAGAAAAAATAATTAGGAAAAAATAACTTATAATTGCAGGAAGATATGACGCTAGAATAAATGTTTGTGCAGTCATAGTTTGGAGTGATGCAATGAACGTCTCAATTGAGTGAAAAGGATAATGAAATATGAATATGTATGAGTCATATATGCATAGTGAAGATAAAACGGGTCTGAGAATTTAATTTAAGTGTAACACAAGTTATTGTTTGAATTACAAACTTCGTAATCTTAAGAATATTTATTTAGAGGGAAAGAATGGAGTGAAACGAAGTGAACACCTAGTGAAAAGTTTTGATCCATGATAAGAATAATAATTGTGTAATAAATATCAACCTCAGAAGGAAACCAGCAATTGCAAAAATAAAATAAAAATCCGTTAAAGCACTCGGATGAATACATTTAGATTTATGTAATAGTATACAGAGTGAAATCGGATATTAGTATAAATATTTGTGCAATAATAATTAAGATTGATGCTATGAAAGTCAAAATTGATTTTAAAGGACAATCTGGAGTTAAATATGTTTAGATGGATAAGAAGATACAAAAAGAATATCTAATGTGTCAGGGAACTAATAATGATATTAATAACGGAAATAATGATAAACACGAACATAATCAGATTTCATATACTAAGATAAATAGAAATAAAATAAAATAGATGTGGAAAGATTTAAGGGTTTTATTTTGCTTTTCAAGCAATTAAATGGATGACGGACCTTGTTAGTATAAATCATTATTGAATACATTGATATTCAATAGGTGACATAATCCACTTTCGGAAAGAAAATCGTCAAGGAGACTTTTGAACCGAGTTGTAGTTTCACTGCAACGGAAGTCCACTGGCAGTCTGTTCTACATGGTTGGGTAGGGAATAACGAAAAATTCTGGTGTAGGTTTGTATGGGCTCTTGGAATCGCTAGAATGTTCTTCTTATTGCGTAGATTGTGGGATGATATCACAGAGTATGAAGGCATGGATGCCAAAGAGTAGGAAATACCGTTAATAAGCCGGTAGATAAAGACAAGGTTTAATTTGATACGTCTGATCCAAAGAGGTTCTAAGTTGAGTTGTTGACATCTTTGGTGATATTCTTTGTTGTTGAAATACCCCAAAACAGCTTTGGTAAACCTTCAATTTCAATCAGGTCATTACGCCTGCAATTGCTGTAAACTAAAATACCATATTCAAGAATGGTAAGATACATTTTCCGTATAATATTAATCTCGAATCGGTATTTTTGAAGTTTATCATTATTGTGCTTTCTAGTTTTGGATACTTGATGTATTATTATGGACACATGAATATTGGTACAAGAGAGCGCCAATATATATGCGCCACACAAAACAATGAAAATTCGAGAGGAATACAAAGAAAGAAAAAAAACTAAGGAGCGCAACAAAAAAAAGAGAGAACAATAACGAAGAGATTGGTGTAAGGTAATGTTCTAGTAATCAGGGAACGCAAAGGTACAATCGGAAGAAATCTTTCAGGTAAGGGAGACACAACCACTTTTTATGAAGAAAGTAAAAGAAGGTTACAGCAGGATCGCCACTGGCTTCTATTCTGAGCCATATCTGATAACGTCTCTAGCCACTGTGTAGCACCATCTCTCAGACCCCAACCAGGGAGTCGTGAAGGACCAACACAAGCCAGTCCTTTGCAGCTTTCTTTCATGCCACGACACCATGTCATGCACTGACCACCTCTCCGCTTCTTCCAACCAGTCCCAGAGTCGGCAAATAATGCACGACGTGGAATTCTCTGGGACGACATTCGGAGAACATGTCCAAGCCACCGAAGTCGGTGTTTCAAGATGGTGACACCAATTGAATTATCATCTCTGTGCCCGAACACACGATGCCG